ACAAAAACGCACTTAAAATCGTGCTTAACAAGAAGTCCAGCAGAGACTAAATTCTTTCTAATCTCAGGAACATGAAGGACGTTGTTCAAAGTTACCACTTTGCCGGAAGTCATTTTCAGAAATATCTTCCCACATCCTTCAATCTTGGCCGTTGCAGCATTTCCCATGGAAAGTGTCTCGTTGGGTCCAGCAGAAGCATATGTAGAAAATGCTTCTCTCACAGCACAAACATGGCGGGTGGCTCCAGAATCAATCCACCATTCCTTAGGATTGCCCACCAAGTTGCATTCAGAAAGCATGACACACAAGTCATCAACATCATCATGTTTTTCTACCATGTTTGTTTGACCCCTTTTCTTGTCTTTCTTCCGAGCACGACACTCCATAGATTTGTGTCCGATTTTCCCACAGTTGTAGCAGTTTCCACTGAACCGNTTCCAGTCCGCGAAGAATATAATTCCTGCACAAGAAGTCAGAATGCTTCCACGCCTCAATCACGAGAAAGCTTTCATTCTCTGGAGTTTCATCTGGAAGATCAGGAACATCTTCCTTGATGAACTTCTGTAGACATAACGTAGTCAAGTAGAAGAACATTTTTTGCTGCCAGCGCTTGAAATCCATACCAGAAAATTTTTCGGGTTTCTTTGCCGGTGCCAACGCCGGAGTACGACTTGTCGATGCATTGGCAGTCATCATCGGAACAGCTTGATTTCCGTCATTCGTCATTTTTACTGTAAAAATGACACAAACAAACGTTTAAAACTGGAGTGAAAAATTACGTAGATTTTAATCTCCAACAAAACGCCACGAAGGCTTTACTCTCCAAATGGGAGTACACAAAACCACAAAGGTTTTAAGTTTCCAGAATAATAAAAGTAACACAAATACAGAAATTAAAATTATTAAATTCCTTAAGCTTGTTGTTTACTCCTGCCTGTATTTGTAAATAATGATTCTGAAAATTAGAACGTTAGCTTATAAACGTAAATATAAATAAAACAGAAATTAATTCGAGCCCACTGAATTCACAGTGTTTCCTTAAGGAATTTAATCCCCTCCTAGTACCCAAGGTTATAGATTATTTCCTCCCAGGATAGAACGAATTACACACTGGTGTAGCGGTACTTCAAACCCTAGTGTTTCAGCGAACACAAAGTTCGGCAGCAAATCACACTTATGGATGCTTTATTTGTAGTTAAAAACAATGCAGAATAAGGAGGACAACTCAGAAGTCGAATGGAAATTCTGAGAGGAAGGAATGCAAAGTATAACCAATGTTGAATTCTTACTGAAGAGAATATCAGATTGCAATTCGTTTGTCCAGTGTATACGCAGTGTATACAGAGTGTATATCCAGTATATACATAGTGTATATTAAGTGTATACAGAGTGTATATTAAGTGTATACAGAGTGTTTCGAGTGTTTTTTCCGATGTGTTCTTCTTTCTCTCCAACTTATGCTCTATTTATAACAGTTATTTGAGAGAAATCCGCCCCCTCCATGGTGCAACAAGCACTAGGCTATCATGGAGGAAGCACTTACATGGTGGAATGTACACTTGCTTGGTGGGAGGAGCACTTGCACCATTGTGGGAGGAGCACTTGCACCATTGTGGGAGGTGTACTAGGCTGCTTATTGCTTAGTGTTGTAACACAATACACGAATTGGAAAACATCTGTTACGAACACGGATTATATCACGTTAATATTCACTATTAACAAATAAATTTGGTCCAAAAATTAATCAATCGATCGATCATTTGACCAAATCCAAATCCAAATCTCATTTCTCATTCACTCTAATTTTAAGACTATTTCATCTTAAACAAAAACTCAACATAATCTACACGAAATATAATTCAACTTAGTATTTAATGTTTGATTGACCGATGTTAGGAATCTATCACAAAAATTGCTTAATCATTCTTTGACAATTCCACGATTGAAAAATATTTCCATGACAATATATATAAACATGGCTTAAAACAAAAAGTATTATAATATGGATATAAATATATTGAGTACTCAACACTAAAGCATGTAATCTATTGTTAAATGTCTATTAAGATTTTGTTCGCTCTAAATGTTTTGCTATGTTAACAAAAACACGAAAAGAAAAGAATCAATAAATTTATAATAGTTATTAATCTCAAAATTATAGTTAAAGAAAAGAATGTAATCAATTAGTGAATACTTTTATCTTTTTATTTTTTAGGTCAAGCATACGATTTTGCTCAGACTAGTTTTATTGCTTGGAATTTGGAAAGAAAATAGACTAATTGTAGTGTGTCATTTAGTAGTTTTACATAAACTTCTAGCTTCAAAGTCCAAATTATGTCTTACCCTCGCAATAAATGATTAATCTGATATACGTAAACAAAGCTACTACATACATTTCAATTTCAAAGTTTACATTTAATTCATTTTTTAATATCGACCAACTATATGTTACTATATTCTAATAACAGACCACTTAGCTACCAAAAATAATAATAACGGACCAATTCAAACATATAATTTCGATTAAAATAAAACATATACTTGACCGATATTTGATCTTCTCAATGAGACTTCTTATATTGTACTATACCAAAAATAAAAAGAAAAGAATCCGATCTTACATGTGTTTCAAAGCAAAAGCAAAACTGAAAAGTAACTATAAGTTGTTCCTTGTAAGTCGAACAAAAAATATTTAATTTGCAAAAAAAAAAAAAAAAGAGCAATACTCCATTGAAATAGTCCATCTTGTTTTTCCTACTATTCAAAANCTAATACTACGACTAAAAATAATTGCATTCACTAGCCAAATATATATAATATATATATATATATATATATTAAATATATATAAAATATATATTTTGCCGGCTATTATTTTTAAAAGCGGTTATACCATGTAGTTTTCCTTTAATTAAATTTAATACTTCAAGCCCAACTGCTCCAGGGACTTTTGGTTCGTAGTCAATGCTTTTACTGCAACATAATACTTTCATAATCGTAGGTGTTTGAATGTGATTTAATAGCCCGGATATAATTAAATATGATGGCCAAAAAACTGTACTTTCATGTAAATCCTCGAGTAAAGATTTTACAGAGTTTAGAATACTTTTAGAGGATTGTCATTTTTTCTAAGGAAAAATCTTAATATATCTTTGGTTTAAGTTAAGAGGCAAGCATATTTAATTGCTTACTGTTTGGCAAGAAAGTATAGAAATTGTGCTAGTTCTTTCTAATGGGAATATGCTCCTTATTGTAAACTTGCTATTACTAATTCAATCTAATAAAAGTCTGTGTTAATAAAATAATTATAGGTGTTTTATGTAACAATCTTACCCTGACATTATGTAATCAACATAACTAAGTTATACTTCCTAATTATGCTAGAGGACGAGATTGAATAGTTTGTCAAACGAAGGGATTTGGTCAAATGTACTTTTAAATTTGGCCAAATAACACGATTAACAGTTTAATAAAGTGCTTATTTGTCGTTGCTTTCTTTTCAGTATTTTAATTATAATGCTCAATTTTAGTTTTGTAACTTTGTATTTATTCTTCGGTTTTAAAATTTGTGTGATTGTTACTGCCATTTCTTTTATTTTTCCTAAGCCGAGAATATTTTCAAAAATAACCTCTCTGTCTTCTCGAAGTTAGTGATAGGGCATACATACATACTACCCTTCCTAAATCCTAATTGTGGGATTACAGTGCGTTTTGTGTTGTTGTTGTTGATTTTGACAATCTGCTATCTTATTTGACGGGTTTTGAAATTTTGATCATATTCAAAATTAGTATATGCTGAAACAGTTAAATTGCGCGAGGGAAACACGGTTGATGTGATTAAAAATTAAATCAGGAAAAAAAAGTATGTATTCCGCGAAAGAGTTTTGTCGGAAAAAATATAAAGCTCAGGCGGGGCCGGCTACTAGTCAACAGGTCAACGCAATCACTATCAAGCTGCGGACCTTTATTTATATTAATTCAACACGTAATCTTAATTAAGTACCTAACGAACTTGGAAAAAGAAACTGCTGTTTATATTCTCTATGGGATTCCTCTCCAGTTTGTGCAGTTGTTTGGAGAAACGACGGAAAAGTGGCAGCGCCGATGTCGGAGCCGAAGCCGATGACAAGGAAGATGGCTTGTTTTTTGAGCTCCGCAGTTTGCAAATTGCAACTAACTTCTTCTCCGACCTTAATCAGCTTGGTCACGGAGGCTTTGGACCTGTTTATAAGGTGCGTCTCCTCGATTTTTTTTTTTATTCTACAGCTAACCACGGCTCAAGCAATTAGGGTTTTTCGTTACATAATTGCTACATTTCGCATTAAAATAATTTGAACAGCCGAATCTAAGAGCTTATTCTTTTTCTCATAATTCAACATGGTATAAAACAAGCAAATATCCTTAGTTCAAGTCTCATCGCCCCACCCCACGTTAACAAAAAATATCTCCACATTGCACGTGAGTGTGCCTGTTAGTACATAGTTAAAATAAATACATATGTACCCCTTTTGCACATCTTAAGCTTTTAGGTGAGTGCTAATACGATCAACGGAACAAGTCAAATTGCTGTTTGTACATGTAGTATTTACTGTTGTGCAGCTAAGATAATTGTGACACGCTATCTTTGGGCTTTTTATCTTATCTATATGAGTAGTGCAAAGGAATATCTTTGCTACCTCAAGCCTAATATTCACTCTTGGGAATTCCTAGGTAGTGTATAAAATGATTTGAATGCCTACATAGGTATTCAGCAATAAACTATTCCTATGATGTTTCATTAATAATGCTGCCAATGGCAACAAGCTTGTCAAAAGCTAATCTTGACTTCTATCTACAGAATTGGGTGGATTGTTGTGTTGATTGGTTGAATGTGGATGATTTGATATAAGGTACATAAGTGGTGACAATCTTGGCAAATGATGGACATGAGATGGAATATGGTGGTTGTGGTGATGAAACAGTAACCATGATTGTATAGGGTAATTTGTTCTTTGTACTGATGATAAATTCTTGGACGGGAGAGAGAAGGTCAAGAGGCAAGTCATGTGGTGTTTCTTTGATTTAAACAGAGTTGGGCATAGGCTGTTGAATAGATTATTGCTGATGTTGCTTTATAGTGCCTAGGTCCTCCTTCTGAGAAGTGAGAACTGCTAATTTCCATGTAGTACCATCACGGACTCCTGTTGCTTAGGAGCCGAACCTGTAAAATAGTATTCACTAATCACTAACAAGTTTTCATACATCAGAATCATTTAATTTAATCAGTCCAAGTGAAACTAAATATTTCAAAATTCCGAGACTCCAGTTAATAATTAATTCAGCTGCCCTAATGAACTTCATATGGTTACTATAGTTGTATAGTTCAATGAGGGAGATGCGAAGTCTATCTTGATTTTATCTTTTTATTACTTTTCTTCACAGGGACTGATGCCAAATGGTCAGGAAGTTGCTGTAAAGAAGTTATCCCTAGATTCAAGACAGGGAATAAAAGAATTCACTAATGAGGTGAAATTACTATTGAAAATTCAGCACAAAAATCTGGTTATTTTGTTCGGTTGTTGCGTGGACGGACCTGCAAAGATGCTTGTGTATGAGTATCTGCCAAATAAAAGCCTTGACTGCTTCCTCTTTGGTAAAATAAACACTCATGATGCCAAGAATTTCTTGAATACCATCAGGCTCAGGAAAAACTAATAAAGTGCGATTTTTCAGCTAAGGAGAAGTCTCCATCTTTGGACTGGACGAAGAGATTCCAAATAGTTACTGGTATCGCAAGAGGTCTTCTCTATTTGCATGAAGAAGCCCCTGTAAGAATCATACACAGGGACATTAAGGCCAGTAATATATTGCTGGACGAGCAATTAAATCCAAAGATCTCAGACTTTGGTCTGGCTAGGCTGTTTCCAGAGGACGGCACTCATGTAAATACATTTAAAATCTCTGGTACATAGTGAGTGTTATTTCCTTTCCTTGTATTTTTTTTCGAATCGACAAAGGAAAGAAAAAGGGGTTCCTCTTCTCCCATTCCTCCGCCCTTTTTTTCAGTGCAGGCTCAACCTTAAACTAATTGTCATCTGAGCTGCTTCTGCTGAATGCAGTGGTTATATGGCTCCGGAGTATGCGTTGCATGGTTATTTGTCCGTGAAGGCAGATGTGTTTAGCTTTGGCGTTTTGCTGTTGGAGATTATAAGTGGCAGGAAGAGCAGTGATCGTCGGCTAGATCCACAAAAGGCAGACCTCTTAATCTATGTAAGTTCCAGTCCCAAAAACTTCAATGTATAAGTTATTGTTTATGTGATTGAGCATGTGTATGATTTGCATTTCTTTCATGAGTTTTGAGTTTAATTTCATACTTGAATATCACTAAATACTAAGGGATCGTTTGGTTCAAAACCGGGATATCCCATGATTAGTCCCAGGATTATAACCTGGATAACTTATCTCATCTTTTATACGGGATAAGTTACACCAAGTTTTTGGTTTAAAAATAAAATTGGTTTTAGCTAATAGATCCGACCAAACACGGATAAATTTAATCCCAAAATTTATACCGGAATATCCCACCTAATCCCCGACTAAATGACCCCTAAGAGGGTTTGGCCTGGAAATAAGATATTCAAATTTTATATCAAAATAACAAGTTGCTGTCATGGGCATTTCTTGAAAGTAGTAGTATTACATCTTAGAGCATAGTTGGTCAGACAGACAGTCAGTTGTTCACTGCTGCACATTAGCAGGAAAAAGTGACTGGCAGTGACAGCCACATAAACTTCCATTTTCATTCCTGAAGAAGGAAAAGATCTAGAACAACCTTTGATATTTAACCATCCACTCTCCTCTAGAGTAATTTGAGGATGTAGAAATAAATATATTGTCTCTCTTTTTACAGGCCTGGGAACTATTTCAAGAACGTAGGACCTTGGAGCTTGTTGATTCTAGCCTTGAAAACTACGATGCTGATGAAGCAGCAATGTGTATTCAGTTAGGATTACTGTGCTGTCAACCTACTGTTTCAGATAGGCCCGATATGAACTCTGTTAATCTCACGCTTTCAAGTGATTCATTTACTTTACCAAGACCTGGTAAACCGGCAACACAAGGCCGTGTAAGCAGATGGACAACTGATAGTTCTAGTGCCTTGACAAAAAATACTACTACTACTAATACTACTACTACTAATGCCAGTAGTACTTTAACTGGTGCGACAAATGCTACTAGTTCTACTAAGGCTTTTGGAGGCAATAGTTTTGTTGAGGATTATTCTAGAAATTCTATCTCATATTCTTCTATGGACGAAGGTAGATGACCTCATTTCAGAGACGGAGCTAGGATTTGAACTTTATGGGTTCTGTATTATAATTCCTTTAAGCTATTAGGTTCTAAATTAATAATTTTTACATATTCATTGGATATCTTAATATAAGTATAGAGTTTGAACAAAAGCTACTGGGTTCGGTCGAACCACAACGATCACTGTGGCTCCGCCGCTGCCTCATTTGTATTGTAAATTTTCAGTGAGTTCGTTATTTTCCGCGTATATTTTGTTATTTACCTCATTTTTCGTGCGTGTGCCCACGTGTTTAATATATGTCAAATATGGCTTTCTCATCTTTTTGGACTATATTCATGTGCAATCTATTATAGGAAGACGCACTAAAATATGGTCCTATTTATAAGCTTATTGTGTAAATATAAAAGTGGACAATTCCTCAATATGTTGTTCTGCAGGACCATGACAGAAGCGCGTAACTTAATGGCACTAAGCTTAACCAATTATTATTCCCTCCAGTTTCAAATGTTAATCATTTTGGCAATTTGAACAAATTTATTCTTACGGTTTTAATTAGGGATGTGCAAAAATTTACGGAGTGTTATAAATAATTATTTAACAGTGGATGTCCATAACTCATACAGAAGTTACTCCCATTACTATTCTCAATTAACCTTCCACTGCTTCTTACCATTATGGTTGTAACCCCCACACCTTCATAACCTCATCCATGATCTTTTCCCATGATCTCAATAGTTAAAACCATGTTTCATGACATCCCTTTGTATTACATCAATATCATCTTATAAATAAAGGGCTTGTGCATCAAATTGTACACGCTTGAATACATGGAAGAAATATTTCATGACATCCCTTTACATTACATCAATATCATCTTATAAATAGAGGGTTTGGACATCAAATTGTACACGCTTGAATACATGGAAGAAAGAAGAATCTCTCATCTCTTTCTCCCTACATTCTTATCTATTTTCTTGTTTTATATTATTACTTTAAGCTAAGTTTCTTAACAAAAAGTAAATAATATTGATGTTTGACCAAAAATATTAAGCCCTTTTTAGTTAAACTAATTTTAAGGAATGGATAAGGGGTAAATCCTAGCCAAAGCTAATTAACTCTAGATTAATGAATGATAAGTAAGAAGAGTAGTGTAAGGTTAAGCTCATGAACTCATTAAGATAATCGAAAGAAATCTAACGTACATAATGAGCTTACATTCCTTCTTGACATCGTCAATCCATAATGTAAATAAAGAAGAAAGAAAAATTTCACCATTGATGACCACAGGGTATATCTTTGTTTATTCCATAATGATGGCTACAGAAGATGAATAGCAAAGCTTTGAACCTTCTCACATTTCGGTGAGTTGGATTCTCCTATTCTCATCCCCTGTTAGTGAGAAAGTGTGTTATTTGTGAGAATCCCCCATTCTTCGTTCTCACACCTAGTATATATACTTAAGTATTCTCATTTACACAACAGTAATTAACCAGTGTACTTAAGTCATTTAACTAAATTACAGATTGACCCTCTAAAATGCCATGACATCTAATTCACCGTACAAGCATTATGAGTACGCGACCTCGGTCGTGGCCGAGGTGCTTGTCACTATAGCGTTGTACGAATACGACTTTGGCCTAAGTGACTTTGTCGTCCCTCTTTACGCAGATTTTTGTTCAGTCGGATTTCGACCCATACAGTTAGTCCTTCCGCTTGTCGGGGTCGCCCTTGGGCGAGCTCGGTAGGCGGACCTTGCCAATTCGAAAGTTTGAGAAATCTGAGCGTTTTGGTTGATAGGGGAACACCCCATGGCGACATAACGGTGTGACGTTTTGAAAGCTGCACCAAACCGTTTCATCAGTTCAAAATGTCATTAATTCATCATGCGTCATTATGGCGCACATTCTTTGTATGTTGCATCGTTTCCCGTGCCCTTTCTGTTTTCAAAATGACAGTGTTTGGTTTTCCCACTCAGGGTATTTATATCCTTGTAAATAGGGGAAGCTCTTACACTCGAATGTTATGTTTCCCAATCGCTCAAGAGAGACTTTTTTAGCTTTTCTTCTTCTCCCTCAGTTTTTCACATTTCCCTTTCTGTTAAAAGTTCTTGTTGCCGCTACCTTTTTCCTTTATCATTCCTGATTTTCGCAATCAGAGAAGAGATGGCTAGTGCATCCTCTGACCCAGAGAGAGTTGTTGGTGCCCTTGCGCCGGAAATTGATATACCTCTTCATAAAGAGGGTGTAGTTACGCCGGAAGATGATAAGTTTCCAACCGTGAATGAGGTGGTTCCTCGCCCAGGAAGGCAAGGAATAACTTCAAGAGCCCTGTCGAGGATGAGTATGAACCTGTTATTTCTACGATAGATGTCGCGGTGCTCACAGCGTTCAAAACCAAATGGAGCATCCCTGATCACATTGAACTGGTTCCGACGGGTCGTGACATAGTGCATATACATCGCCCGAGATGCTGCGCGGTTTACGCATATCCATTTGTCATCGGATACACGCTTTCCCTTCCTTCCTTGGTGGTTGACTTCTGTCGCTTCTACGAGGTGTGCCCAGCTCAACTCTCTCATACGTATACAAACTCTTCCTTATGCTTATCAAGTACGCGAAGCTGGCCGATCGGGGAATTTCTCTACAACACATGCTTCACCTCTTCACCCCCTATTTTTATAGGGGCACGATGATTCACCTTTGTCACCGAGGAACCAAAGGTTTGGTGGTGAAGATGGATGACAAGGCCAATCACGGCTTTGGAAGAACTTCTTCTACGTCCGAACAGAGCACCCTTAGCTCTTCCCTTCCTTTTATTATATATTTTTTGAAAATGGTTGTTGGTTGTCTCCCTTTAGTGATCCTCGTCGAGTTTTTTTTTTGTTTTCGCAGCCGAGAGAGTATCTCCTCCGCAAGTTGATAATATTCGCAAGTTGGTGAGCTCGATTCTGCCCCACACGATGGGGATTCGCGAATGGGTGCCTTTTTATGATAGGTTTGGGCGCAAACCTTCTGCTGGTGAGTCAGCTTGTTTCGATCTTAGTTGTTTTGTTCTTTGCTCCATCTTTTTCTTTACCATATATCTTCATTTGGTCGAATTTCTCATTGGCATGTCGGAGAGGAGCGAGAAGGGCGAGGGCTCCCGTCATTGCTTTCCGTCAGCTGGCTTCTTTTGCCCGGCTCGTACCAATGGTAGCTGTGCAGGATGGCATCCAAAATCTGGTTATTCTGCGGACCACGTTCGTGTCCGAACTTGTTCGTTCGGAGGCTGCTCTTCGGTCAGACATTCCGGTTCCCACAGTCCGTTCGGCGGACGAACCTTCTCATGGTGGTGGTGAAGAGGCCCCGTCAAAGATGCAGAGGTTAATATCAGAGGGGGCATCTTTGATTGAAATGCCCTCGAGGGGCGACCCTATTTCGGCGGTGCCTGAAACCGGCGGTGATGTCGGCCTGGGTGTGGAGGCGATTCCTGTTTCGGGCGTGGAAGAAGCTGTCGTAGCAGGGGGACAGAGTTTGGAGATTGTCGCGATTGTTTCGAGCGGTCCATCGACGTCTCGGCAGGCCCACACACCCTCTTCGGTTAATGAGAGGTTGAAGGGCGTAGTGGTAGTGATTATGAGTCTGATTCTGATACCGTTCCTGAGGACATGAGGATGTTCAAGGAAGGTTTTACCAGGGTTAATGTGAGGGCGGAAAGCCCTTCCCGTGTGCTCGAAATTTCGTCAAACTTTAACTTGTTGGAGGACACGGTGGACTTGGTGCCCCAATTTGAACTTCTGTGCTCCGCCGCCGAAAGCAGGTCTCTTCGGGAGATTAGTGATTCCAGGTTGTCACGCGGTGTGGCTGGGATGGCCTTGAGGGTGAGTTTCCATTTGCTATTTTCTTTATTTTGTGCCATTTGCTTTCGCTGATTCTTCCTTTTTTCCTCCCCAAAGTTACATGCTGGATATCGAGAGTGCTCGTCGGGCTGAGACTCGGGCCGCTATCTTTCTGAAAATGGCGACGAAGTATCGCCAGCATCGCAATAGGTGCCATGAGATGCACGCGCAGCTTAGGGCGGGCAGTAATACTCGGTCCCTCAAGTAGGAGTTGGAGATGAAAGATGAGGATCTGGTGCATTCTATCAGCAGATGTAGCGAGCTCTAGGGGCTGCTTAGGGCTAAAGACGAAGAGCTCGAGGTGGGCAAAGGGGTTTAGGCGGAATGCGAGGATCTTCAAGCGAAGGTGTTGTCTTTGTGAGCCGAGCTTGAGCAGAATGCCACTAGAGTTTCCAATCTAAGTGCATAGTGGACAGAGAAGGTGGCTGAGCTAGAAAAGAAGGTGTCCGAGTTGGAGAGGGTCGATGGAGCTCGAGTGGCGGCTTTGGCGAGGGCAGCGGTGTTGGAAGACACTATTCGCGTCCTCGGGTCTGAGTGGGAAGTCGAGACGGCGGCGGCTACACTAAAGGAGGCACGGCTCGAGGAGCGGATCGGTGAGCTTGATCGGGATGCCTCGAGCCTGGGAGACCAAGTTGTGACTCTCGAGGCCGAGAAGGCGCAGCTGTTGGCTCAAGACCCCTCAAGAATCTGCCTCTGTTGTTGTCCCCTGCCATTTGTACGAGATATGGGTCCATGCTGAGGCCCAACGAGATATATATAAGGGTTTGTGGGCGGTGGGGAGCGTTCCTGAGGCCATTTTTGAAGATGCTCAGGTTAAGGCACGCGAGGCTCGTCTCACCTACGGTTATGACCCTGCGACACCGGAGGTCGGTGGGGGTGCTGAGATTGAAGATGGGCTTTCTTCTGATGATTACAACACTGGCGAGGACGGTGGTGGAGATGAGGCCGAGTGAAGTTTTTGTAGCTTTTTGTACTTAGTTTTTTTGTGATCTTTTGTTGTTGCTTGCTTTTCTTTATATGGGGCCCCATTTTTGGCCTTTTGTAAGACGTTGTTGCGTATGTATATCTTTTGAATAAGATAGTTGGTTTGTCTTTGGTTGCATGTCTTAGACTTTCTTTCTCATTCATTTTTTAGGAAAATGATCTCCAGATTTTCCGGTGATGATTCCCTGATTTTAGTTGGGAATTTGAATGAGGTTGAATTTAGCTCGCTGATTCGAGCGAGGTCGGATCTTATCTCTTAGTTCGAACGGGGTCGAACCTTACTTCGTTAGTTCGAGCGAGGTCGAACCTTACTTTGTTAGCTCGAGCGAGGTCGAACTTTTATTTTGTTAGTTCGAGCAAGGTCGAACTTTTATTTTGTTAGTTCGAGCGAGGTCAAACTTTTATTTTGTTAGTTCGAGCGGGGTTGAACTTTTATTAGTTTGGACGAAAGTCGAATTTTACTCTTTGGCGATGGCTGGGGTCGTAAGGGTATAAATCCCAGCGAGGTCGAATTGTAACCCGTTAGGAGTTCGAGCTAGTCGAACTTTGGCTTGTTGATTCGAACGAGGTCGAATTTTACTTTCGCTTGGTGATGGCCAGGGGCCGTAAGGGTATAAATCCGAGCGAGGTCGAATTGTAACCCGTTAGGAGTTCAAGCGAGGTTGAACTTTGGCTTGTTGATTCGAACGAGGTTGAATTTTACTTTCGCTTGGCGACGGTCGGGGGCCGTAAGGGTATAAATCCGAGCGAGGTCGAATTGTAACTCGTTAGGAGTTCAGGCGAGGTTGAATTTTGTCTTGTTGATTCAAACGAGGTCGAATTTTACTTTTGTTTGGCGACAGCCGGGGACCGTAAGGGTATAAATCCGAGCGAGGTCGAATTGTAACCCTTTAGGAGTTCGAGCGAGGTCAAACTTTGGCTTGTTGAACCGAACGTGGTCAAATTTTACTTTCGCTTGGGGATGTGTGGGCTTGGTGGAGTGGTAAGAATGTTGCTCGCTGTCTTGCTTTTATTGGAGAGTATTACTCATTGCTGCATCGTTTATGTGTACGTTGGGGTGAGTCTCGATTTATCTAAGCTTGCTTTCATTGGAGAATATCAAGCGTTGCTGCATAGTTTATGTATGCGTCGGGGTGAGTCCCAGTCTATCTAATCCCTTCATTGCTCGGCTTGGAGAGACTGTTGACGGGATGGGCAATGAACTTATTTCTTGGGCTTCTGGAACCTTGGGGATTGATTAATTTGAACAAAGTTCGGACGTGACTTGTAGTATTTAGTCGGCTGAATTGGCGTAGCATCGTTATGGCGAGCACGGGCAAGCTTTTCGTGTTCATGTTCTGCCTGTGTTGGCGAGACTGTACGTTCCATGGGCTCACCACCCAGTCCCAGGCTATGGAGATTGCTTCTTAATGATGTCGGCTTGTTCTGAGTCGTTTGTTTGTTATTCGTAGTATGATACGGTGTGGAGGGTTTTCCCGATTTATCGTTTGTCGTAGGGAGGAACTTAGAGCCTGTATGTCGGCTAGCCTTCGTTAGCGTATTTGGGAGGATGTCTTTGTTCTCTATTTTACTTCTCTCTCTTTTTTTTTTAAGAAGGAACAACGGGTTAGAAGTACATGGAATAATCTGTTACCTTGGTTTGCTATTTGGCTGATGAACGAGGTTGATTGGCTATGTTTCCCTTGACGGCTGGGCTCTTTGGATCTGGGGAGTTCCCTCATTCGGCAATGAACTAGGGATCGCACTGCAGCGCAGCTCGCCTTGTTCTGTATTCTGGTACTAGTTTCTGGCTTGATGTCGGCTTCGGCTTTGCGCTCAGCCTTGTCACTGGTTGAGCTTTGCAATCTCGTGGGCGAACGATCCACTCCCCCTATTAGGGTCTCAAGCTCGAGTCCCAGTTCATCTCAATCCATAAACATACAGACAAAGAGTATTTTAGTCAGTTAATTACATAAGCATCGTCTCATATAGTATGAGGGAAAGCGATATGCGCAGGATGTAAGAGGTGTTGGGTACTAACCTGGAAATGGGATTACGGACGTGTTTGGTATGCATAGTCGTAGTCCCACTATGATGGCTCATATTCACAATGCATCAGGGTTGCTGATGTGGCGGAGCGCAGTTTTCGTGTGTAAACCAGGCATAACTCCGATTTCGCGTAAGGATTTATCCTTGGTTGGTTTGGCGATTTCGAGGGGTTACCGACCGGTTTCGCAAGTCGACATTCATAATGAAAGGGTGAAACTTCATCGAATTGGAGATAGAGCTATGACTATGTTTGGATCTAGAGGGAACTAAGGCTTTGGCTAGAAAATCCCCACAAACGGCGTCAAATTGTTTGACCAAAAAATGTTAAGCCCTTTTTAGTTAAACCAATTTTAAGGAATGGGTAAGGGGTAAATCCCAACCAAAGATAATTAACTCTAGATTAATGAATGATAAGTAAGAAGAGTTGAGTAAGGTTAAGCTCTTGAACTCATTAAGATAATGGAAAGAAATCTAAGGTACATAATGAGCTTACATTCATTCTTGGCATTGTCAATCCATAATGTAAAATAAAGAAGAAATAAAGAATTCACCATTGATGACTATGGGGTATTATCTTTATTTATTCCATAATGATGGCTACAGAAGATGAATAGCAAAGCTCTGAACGTTCTCTCATTTCGGTGAGTAGGATTCTCCTATTCCCATCCCCGTTAGTGAAGAAGTGTGTTATTTGTGAGAATCCCCCCTTCTTCGTTCTCACACCTAGTATATATACTAAATATTCTCATTTACACAACGGTCATTAGCCAGAGTACTTAAGTCATTTAACTGAATTACACACTGACCCTATGAAATGCCGTGACATCCAATTCACCGTACAAGCATTCTGAGTACACGACCTCGACTGTGGCCGAGATGCTTGTCACTATAGCGTTGTACGAATACGACTTCGGCCCAAGTGACATTGTCGTCCCTCTTTACGCAGATTCTTGTTCGGTCCGACTTCGACCCATACAATGGACACGAGGTACTATTTGTTAAGATAGCAAGTCAAAACGTTTTTACTTAGCACTACAGAAGTTTCTCAAGAGGGTGTCCGTTCCTATGTTTTCGTCTAGTTCAGGACAAGAACAAATATTTGAATCTTGCTAATGACCTACACTTTTTTTCTCCGAGCTAACATGTGATTTTTTATAGAAGGGAGTTGTGAATTTAGTAAGATCCAAAACCAAGATCCGAGGAACTTGAAGCTCGAGTCAACATGTTTTCTCCCAAGACACGATTCAATAAATGTAGACGACTTATGTCAGTATTTGTTACTACTACTTAATTGGAGTGTAGGAAGTAGAAAGGAAGTATGAGATTGGGTGCATGTGGCATGGGTTTCAGAAAATACACAAGAACCCACGCCGCAGTTATAGCCACCGACTACTGACTCAGAACAAACTAACACACTCCATTCTGATTTCTGATTCTACCATTCATTATCAGCCGTCTCATTTTTTATACTCTCTCCTCAATACCCTCTAAAAAAATATAAAGGAAAGCCGCTAATATTTTTATGTAAAAGGTTCACCAACTGCAGCTCATCATCTTTCTCCATATTGCTTTGCTTTTTATGCTGGGGAAAGGGAATAAAGCCACTTTTAAAAGTCTCTCACTCACACCCTCTTGAGAAAAGAAGATACTTGATCCTTTGCCCCTGAAAAATACCAGTTTGAAGATACTACCTTTTCTTATTAATTGAAACAATTGTAGTACTCTTTCTAAAGGCATGCCAAATTGGGAGCTGAAGCATTGTTGCAAGCATGAACAAATCGTCTTTCTCGCCACTATCGGCGTTTGCGCTGTTGTCATTCTTGCTGTACTTCCTTTTGCTTCTCCCTTTTTCTTTTCTATCACATATTCAAGGAAAATCAATTCCTTTATCGTAAAAAAAAAAAAAAAAAAAAAAAAAAAAAAAAAAAAAAA